AAAACATATGATCTTTTTTTGAGACAGGGAAAGGAGAAAAATATTTTTTAAAAGAAAAAAGACTTAAAAAGCGTACCTAGTAAATTAAAAACTAAAGAAAAGATTTATATCTGTCTTTGGCCATTGAAAGACAGTTTTTTTCCTTTCGTTTCCGCTCAGTTGAAAGAGTATATTCTCCTCAAGTCCTAACATTCAAATATTTTATGTGCAGGGTTCGTAAAGATTGTTGTTGGCAATCTCTGCCCAGCTTTTCTGTACCCAATCCTTGGTTTCCTGATTCTTCAAGCACTGAGTAATAATATCCTTCTTTTCACGTTGAAAATTTGCCATCATTCACATTTGCTCAAGGCTTTAGGTACTGCAAAGTTGGTTAGCTGGTAATTTTTTGGTCCAGTTTAAATAAAGAATAGGGAAAGAGCCCCTGTCAAACCCGAGGCTGTTGCTCCCAGTCCTTATCCAGTGCATATTATTTAAATAGGGCACAGAAATTGAAAAGTGACAACCACGTGAAGAATATCTAATCCAATTTTTTTCTCTGCCACCTTTTTCTGGTTCTTCCTTGTAAGAACCCCAGAGAAACGGTTATTGTAAGGGTTCTGACATTAATTCCCTTTTCAGGGGAGGGGAGAAATTGCATTAAATTTATTGAGTGCCTATTGTGCCAGACACATTAGTTAAATCATTTACTCTGAGAGCCACAGCCGTGTTACAGATGTAGAAAGAGATTCAGCAGATAGGTGACTCATGACCCAGGGTCACACAGCCAAGGACATGCACGTCCTCTACAATAAATTACTCTCACTCAAACCCTTGCCCAGTTACCTCAGAAAAACCTCTCTCTCTGCTTATTGCTTTTGATCCCTTTTTAATCAAATAAAAACAAAACAAAAACACCATAAGGGTAGGACTAGTGATATACTTGAAACCAGAAGAAACCTGTAGTTAGTGAGAGGAAACCATACCTAAGAACTTCCACATACCTTCCTGGCCTTGAGAGTTGGTTTAGAATTTTCTGAAACAATCATTATATATCCTCTTCTTCCAATAAATGTATTTGTCCTCAGGCTCCAACATTTGTGATAAATAATACACTTTCTCTTTCAATGCTACTTTGATTAGTAGCAGCATTTTTTTTCCATTTTATTTTTCCCTAGGGTCTTAGATATTAGTAGAACAGACTTGCAAACCCAAAGCACCATTTACAACTTTTGTTTCTTTAGAGAGAAATGCTCTGAAAGTTCCAAAGAGCTAAAGCACAAATGCTTTGTGGGACACACTGTTTTTATGTTGGGAACGGCCAATACTTATGAAATGAGTGTTCAAAACAAAATCAGATCTTTCAACAGGAGCATGCAGAGACAGAGAGACCTCCTTAACTTGACCACTTGCTCGCTCTCCCTCAATCCCCCCTCAGCAACACAGGTACACATGCGCATGCGCACACAAGTGATTGAGGAGCTAAAACAATAATATGCTACTTAGGCAGTTCCAAAGTACATTGGGGAGGGGAGGAGAGAACCAGAGATGTGACCATAGCCCCTCATATAATCATAAATATTATTGATAGTTTATTTTTAAACTTTTGTTAACTCCCATCTTAATGAGTTTTACATAAAATTTAGAGTTGTCCACCAAAGTACTGAAATATCAAGATGAATGTTCACAATGGACTTTTTTTTTGTTTTTGGCATGTTACATTTTCGGGGTTTTTTTCCTAATAAAAGCAAAAATCTATTCAGACCTAGAATTTGAAGACAATTAGAGAATTGGCTATAGGAAGATTTTAACAGAAATCTATCTTGATAGAGAGTATCAGTAGTTATTACATCTGTGTTAAATTAATTGCTTTTATTAGATAACTTTTTTATTTTTAAATCACAAAATAAAAATCCTCAAATGGATTCTCTGGTAAACTTCCATCTACTACCTTCTAGGAAATTCACACTAAGAAATAATTTCACACTTTAATTTTGAGAACTTATAAGTTTCTAAAACTATTCATGCACTGGTTTTATAAAAATGTCATAATTTTCCGTTTGTAATTATTATTATGTTTATTTTTAGACATGTTAGTGTAAAAGTTAAATATACTCTCTGTTAAATGTAATTTTAAAAACAGAGCTGCCAAATAAATTGGGAATTTCTTTATACTTATGAGGGATATCTCTAACCTAAACTAGGTTTTAAAAATCGCTTAATTCTAAAGATTTCATTTTGGAACTCAAAAATTTACAAATTGGCAAGGAAAGCTACAGAGATAAAAAGGATTGCAAAAGAAAAAAAGTTAGAAATAAATTTGCAAACAAATTTGCCAAAGGTACAAGGGAGTCATACTTCAGAACTGAATGGTAAAATAAGAAAACACAGCAAATATTTAAACAGAAAAACCACACAAAATTACTAAGGTTCCTAAGTTTACATTAGACTGACTATTCATAATGAGAAAATAGCAACTTTGTCACTATCATGGAATTCACAAAAATCATGACAGATCTTCAAGCATGTATATTAGGGGCTGGATTTACAGGTAATAATAGTCCATGTTTATTATTCAGGGACCAAAACAAGCTTTATTTTTGCTTTGTCTCAGGATACAAAGTACTATTTTTCCCACTGTGGAATATGACGTGCTTATGGTATTGAAATCAGAGCAAAGTGTCAGATTTTGCTTCAAAATGCACATTTTTTATTTATTGACCATTCTGTACTCCTCCATTTCTATGAATACACAAGGCTTTGCATGGTTATTTTAAAGGGTTTTATGAGATTAATTTAGTTGGTGTGTCTCTTCAAATACCTTCTGTGAGTTTTAAAAATTTGTTCCATCCAAAATACAAGTGTTCCCACATATTTCCTATCGTACCTAACACAGACTGTAGCCCTTTAATACATATCCCATAATCAACCACGAATGCTAATTTCATGTTTTCAAAGTATTATAGCCAGGCTTTACTCATAATTAGTCTCTGTTTTATAAGAAATACTGGTTTTTTTAAAAAGCAAACTTTATAAATATCAACAGAAATAAACACATCGATCACTTTAAACTATTCAAATACAATAAAGAGATCCAATTTATAGTTTTTAAGGAAAATAAAATCATCCTTAAGTCCATATGTTAAATTTTGAATGTTTACACACTGTAGGTGGTGGTGTAAATGTCCAACTCGTTTGGTATCATGGTTAAAGAAAGAGTGCCAGAAATAAAATTAGTTTTATAGCCTCCTTTTGCCACCATTTAATAGGCACCTAAAAGTAGATCTTATTGCTTTCCTAGAATACTTTGTAATATTAATTTTAAATCAAAGTTTCTAAATATTTTTGGCTATAAGAAATAGTTCCATTCTTAAAACATAATAGTTGAAACAATAAATTATTCTGAAAGAGATTGATTTCTAGAGTAACCCTAATCATGATCTATCTGTTATTTATCTATCCATGATAACTCAATATTAAGGCTGTTATTGAAAACAGTGTTATTTCACAGTGACTCAAACTTTTCAATCTATCCACAACTTTGAAACAAAAACTACCATTCCATCTTTTAAAAAAAACAACAAAATATTGTTTTCTTTTTCAATCCTTCTCAACTTACCCTGCTTGGGTATGCTGCACTCTTCTGGGCATACAATTTCATAGCAGTTATCGAAATAATCAAGCCAGAAAGTTGGCTTTATCAAACAATAATTTCCCATCAACAGAAACTTTGGATGTATGACTCATTTCACACAAAACAAATACACAGCAAATAATGATGGTAAAAATGAACACTAAAATAAAAACTGTAATAAAGCTTTGTTATTCACTTTTGTATTTTCTCAAACAGTCTAACACCTGAAAAAAACTATTGTGGGCACTTTCCTGAAAGGCGCCAGCTGTTTCCTCTGTTTTAAGACAACAAGCAGAAACTGAGCTAAAATCACGTTTCCGAGGGAGGGGGTGGGTAGATAAAGCCGCTACAAACTAGCTGTCAGAAATGGGAAGTCAGTCAACTTTTTCCTCTCTGATAACTCTTTATTTGCAGAGCAACAGGGGAATTACGAAAAATATTTTGGAAAATAATACTGTCTTAAAAACGATCTCTTTTGGACCAAGCTCTTACTTCCATGGAAGTACTCAAATCCAAGCCTTAATTTCAACAGTGTTCAAATTTATTACTTGAAACTCTGGCAACATAAAACCGTCTTCTTTAAATGGAAAATGTGACAACTTCTATGAGGTAAATGAATTTGAAAGTAGGAGTGGATGGGGGAGGCACAAGCTTTTTTTTTTTTTTTTTTTTTTTTTGGTGAAGGGGGAAAGCATGCCTAGGAAGACTCCTAAGCAAGCACAAACCCTGGGTCTCTAACGACGTTAGATCAGGCTGCTCAAGGCTCCAAGATCACAGCTCCACACTAGGGACTTCTGGTTTCACTGCTACGGGGCATCGGTGGAATCCCTGCCTTGGGTGAATAGAGCGTAATTGTTGAAAAGACGCGCTCCCTTACGACCCACCGTCTGGTGATTCTCCTGGAAACCCAGCCCTTCCCGGAGCCCCCTCGGGACCACCCGCACATGGCCCGGCACGGGTCCTCAGAGCGACAGGGAGGCTCCGAGTCCACCCAGGAACCTCTTCGACAACTCGAGAACCGCCACCACCCGGAGCCTGGAGCCGGAGGCCAGCGCAAGATAAACTCGACCGCGAGCCCCGCCCGTCGCCGCCTCTCGCCAAGGACCTCTGCTGCGAGCGTGACCGCCTTCCCCACCGCCGCAGCAGCCCGCTTCGCGCCTCTGGGACCTGCGACCTCCCCGCCCCCGGCCAGGCCCCCTGGAGGCTGCGCTTCCCGTAAACTCCCCGCCCCGCTCGGCCCCCTCCCCGCTGCGGCCCCGCCCCCAAGGGACCCTGAGCCGCGCACGATTGGCTCGGCCGCGCTGTCACTCTGCGGTCGCGTCACCGCCCCCATTTCCGACCGCGGGGAGACCGGCAGTGGTGTTAGTGCTCGCGGGGCAGCGGCGGAGGGAGGCGTGCTGTCCTGCTCGCTACCATTCGCCCGCGAGTCGGCGCACTCACCTATCCGAGCGGCTACCGGGGCTGCAGGTCTGCTGGGCGGCAAGGCTGCCGGGCTGCAGGCTCAGCCGCTGCCTGAGAAGCACAGGCAACTAGTCCCAGTCCGAGATGGGGAGAGGGCGAAGTTGACGGGTCCCCTACCCACGCTGCTTTCCTCCCGCCCGCAGGTGCGCTACTCTGTCTAGGAGGTGCCCGCACGTGGCCCTGCCCCAGGTGTGCGCGGGACACCCCGCCCCCGGAGACCCGAAAACTTCACCCCAAGTCCAAAGAGTGGACTGGAGGGCGGTGCCGGGTGCCCGACTCCTGACTGAAAAGTCCTGGAGGCTAGCACGGAGCGCGGAGGGCGGAGACCCGCTGGAAACTTTATCACCATCATCGTAATTACAACACTTTACTGTTTCTCTCCCCGCAGGGGCTGCAGCCAGCTGTCTGTCGTGCTTGCTTGTTTGCCAAAGGAGCCACTCCAGGAAGAAGACCCAGAGGGGAATTGTTAGCCCAAGGGATACCTGCAGCCCAGCCGAGGGGTTTGGGCGGCCTGGATGCGCAGGACCCAAACCCGCAGCCGCTGACGCCGGGCGGCGGCGAAGTTTGGCTGCTGGGCGGTGGGGTGCAGGGCCACTGGACAGCGGTCAGCCCGGCGGCCGCGACGGCGGGAGCGATGCCGGTGGGGGGCCTGTTGCCTCTCTTCAGCAGCCCCGCGGGCGGCGGCCTGGGCGGTAGCCTGGGCGGGGGGCTCGGCGGCGTAGGCAGGAAGGGGTCAGGCCCCTCCGCCTTCCGCCTGACGGAGAAGTTCGTGCTGCTGCTGGTGTTCAGCGCCTTCATCACGCTCTGCTTCGGGGCGATCTTCTTCCTGCCCGACTCCTCCAAGCTGCTTAGCGGGGTCCTGTTCCACTCCAGCCCCGCCCTGCAGTCGGCAGCTGACCACAAGCCTGGGCCCGGAGGGCGCGCTGAGGACAACGCAGCAGCAGGGCGAGCCTGGCGCGGCGAGGAGGGAGCGCCCGGGGACCCCGAGGCCGCCCTGGAGGACAACTTGGCCAGAATCCGCGAAAACCACGAGCGGGCTCTCAGGGAAGCCAAGGAGACCCTGCAGAAGCTGCCCGAGGAGATCCAAAGAGATATCCTGATAGAGAAGGAGAAGGTGGCCCAGGACCAGCTGCGTGACAGGGAGGTACTAAGGAGGTTGCCCCCGGTGGATTTCGTGCCTCCCATCGGGGCGGTTGGCCGGGCACCGGCCGACGCCACCATCTGCGAGAAGAGGGCAAAGATCAAAGAGGTGAGTGTGCACCAAGCTAGAAATCCCTCCCGACCCGCCGTTTTTAAAGGGAGAAACGACAAGCCTTTGAAACTCTTAGTACTGCAACATTACAGTGTAGGGGTACATGGAGGTTTACCACCTGCACCAGGTGTAGTGTCAAAGGCGCTTTCGTTTTCCTTTTTTCATTAACATACTAGATATGGCCAATTACCATCTGAGGTTGAATCCGGTTGCTTCTAACTTAACATGCTTGGGTGAACATCAGCCACATGGCAGGTGGTGTGCAAACCTTTTCTTTCACTGGCTGATGCTGTAAATTGACCCTGAGAACAGAGACGGTGAAGGTCCCCAACAGCCGCAGTAAGACTTGGACATGGCTTTGGAATGAAGCTTGAGTGTAAACGCTGCGCATCAATCTTGCCTTGTAAAAAGATTTTGACAGCAAGTCAGCACACCCCAGCGTTCAGTCTTGCGACCCCATTCTGCCAGGTGGCATCCTGTGTGTACTTACAGACTACAAAGATGAAACTTGAGAACTCGCTATCATAGGGGGCACACTGTTGTTTACTTTAAAAAAAAAGTGAAAAGTTGAAAAAGCCAAACCTACTGCCTCTTGCATTTCTAGTGTAGTCAGAAAAAAAGTATTTCGCGTGATGCAACAGGTTTGCCTCCACAGCAGCACCGCGATGACAGACTTAATCTCAGACAAACATGCACTTTGATAAGTCTTTCATAATTCCTTTCTCGTTATTTTCACGTAAAACTAGTAACACGTGGTGAGCTCATGACTGGCTTAAAGCTGAAGTGGACCTTAACATAATGTTAGACTATCGTTTTAAAAATGAACTTTGCAGGTCCCAGGGCCCAGAACCTGGTAATGACTGAGTCATGACTTAAAACCTGGCTTCTTCCGGGTCACCTGTCACCGGGCACATAGACATTTCTCTTTCCACAGCTGTTTTCCTGTATAAAATGATAGTAGCCTGGAGTTTTACATGGCCCAAGACCTGTAGGAACCGTATTAAAAACACTTCTCAAATCTTGATTCAGATTGCTAAACTACATTATGAATAGAAGTAATGTTTTTTTGTCATTTTATAAAATTTCAGAGTTTCTGAAAATAAACTTTGTCTTTTGACATTTGGTAGGTAATCGAGAGAGGAAGCTTCCTGATCCGCCCATTTTCAGGCAGTAGACTGAATTTTGAGGTGATAAAGAGGTATTTAGCTTGAATGGCCGCAGAATAGAGGCAGCTCGATTGTGTAAGACTTGTGACTGTTCTATAAGACCAGATGAATTTCGTTAATCTGTAATTGAGCAAGTTAGAGTGGATTTGGGCCCCTTTCGGTTGACTCGAGGTAGCTTGCTATCATCCCTCCTGTGCACACAGCTTTTTTCCATAGCCCATCAGCCTTTCCGCTTTGAGACCCTCCCTCAGGCATAGAAACCTGAACTCAGGGGGATGAATTTTACTCCCCCTGACAACTTCTGTCCAGCAGTTTTCCTTCCCCATGAAATTCCGTCAGAGCTGCCAATCCAGGAAGGTGGGAAAAGCTCTACCTCTCACCACCATCTCCCTCCTGTCTTCATCCCAGCCTCCTTAAAAATACCCTACCAAAACCCGTAAGTAAATTAACTCCAAGTCTGTATCTGCTTATATTTATTTCCCTTAAATTTTAATCAGTGTGATTCACACGTCTCATGCTGCTAAATTCCTATGAGCTGCCAGTTACTGCAGCTCATTGCTCTCCTCGGAAATTATTTTAAATACTAAAGATGCGTGGATGTTAAAAGAACTATCGGTACTGACCAGTAGCAATTACAAGTGCCTTTAAAGCAAAAGCAATGGGACAACAGCAATCAGTTCAGAACAGCACATTAACAGTTATGCATATGTGTTCCTGTTAGATTCATGTTGTCTGTGTCTCTCAATCAAAAGGTCTTAATTAACCATGTAAAGGAAATTTATGTAGCCTCGTGTCCATGTGGTGCCAATAGCTTAGTGCCTAGATGTTTTGAAACTGTCCAGTCTTGCAGAAAGTGGTGGAACTATGCATGTCCTTTAAATTCCATGTTGTGAGAATTTTAAAAAAAGCCAGCATAATTAACTTTGTTATTTAGTCAAAGTCTAAAGAAGAGAAATGTATTATGGGTTTTCATCAGATTAGCTCATGCAGATGTGTTCCTTTGTAAACCAAAAAAAAACAAAAAAAGTCATGCTAGTCTAAAATTGGGCTGTAAATGCTCAGTTTTAAAGGGGAAACAGTGGTTACTCATTATGAATAGGGCACTGGACTTTAATTGTACACATTTAGATTCAGTTTGAGGCACCACCATGGATTCCTTGTCATGGACCAATGGATCTTCATGGATCTTTACCTTCTTTTGCTCTTTATCATACCTGTGTTTTATAGTTCTCTTTATATACTTAGGTTCTCTATCACACCTGAATGTACTAATAGTTTCATAGTAAAATTTAAAGATATAGGCAAATCTAATATGTTGGGAGCTTAGACTATAATTTCTGGGCCAACCTTTTATTTTGTAAATTTGTTTGTTTAAAGATAGCCAATACTATTTTTATATTGCCAATACAGTTTGTGTCACTGCTACTGTGGTAAATTTTTGACAAATTTGTGCCTAGAGGAAACAGTCTATAATTTCAAATAGGATGTTGTCTGACATGCTTCACAAAAAGGCAGCACCTGCTTTCTACGACTTACTTGCTGGATATTAAAGCTTGATGTAAAACTTGTTGAAATTAAGACACCCCCCCCCCATGATAACTTTGTAAACAAATTACCTCTGGAATTTCCCTGGAATTCATCATATAGACAACATATTTTCATTATTTGATCTTTAAAAAATTGTACTCAACTTGTGCTTAGCTTTAAAAGCAGTGTTAGAATAATGAAGCACAGAAGTTAAAATTGCACCAGGGAATTAAAAAAAATAGTCAACTTCCCATTCTACCCCAACTTTTTTTTAAAATCAGGAAGCTTGCTTTTTGAGGGGGGATTCCCCGCCCAGCTAAATGTGGTGGGGATTGAGGGGGGTGATCAGGCAGTTTGGGGTCTATTAGATGAGGATTCAGGACCTGTCAGCTCTGGGGTCACTGTTGGCCTGTCTGGGTTTCTCAAAACAGGCTTTAGTTTTTTATTACGGACCAACTTATGTAATTATGAATTTTAAAACATTTTTAATGTTGATAGCTGATAGTTAAAATATATTTTTATACCTTACACTAGCCTTAGGTTGTTCTTGAGTCTATAATTTATATTAACTATTGACAGTTAATCCTTTTATTAAAGATCAGACATAGGAATATTCTACCTTGGCAAATTAAAACAGCACACTTTTATTTTGAAACTTAACTTTCCAGTTTATTTGTATGGATAGTTCTGGTATGGAAAATAATAAAAGCCACAGGTTGAAGAAATGACTCTGAAGGAGCTTATTAAATACCCTTGGATTGTTACCGTGCTTGTTTTGTTCATCCTGCTCTGAAATACACACACATTGAATATGGTCAAATGCAAGATATCCCCATTCCTAGGACTTTTACCAGAACAGGTACATCATGGGGTGTTTGTAAAGGTTTTTCTCTTTAACAAGTAGATGAATAAATTCAGATCTCAACAGTATAAGTACTGGGGTAGATGCCAACTATTGAACATTAATATAAGAAAGCAAGAAAAGATTGTTAAGGGGTAATCAATTATGTTCAGTTTAATTTTCTGTAAGCTGTTGATGATTTGAGAGAGTATTGTCTTCCTCTTATCAGATAACTTAAGATTCTTATAAAGAAGCTATATTTAGGACTTAGAACCTAGTTAAGGGCATGAAAAGAGGTTAAAAATGCATTTTTGAGTTAACACATCTGCATTTCTTACGTGAGCTAATAAAGTAAGCCATCTGGAGAAATTTATCCTAATATTTCACATGTAGAAAAAGTACCTTTGTATGAGATCTCAATTTGTGGGAATTCAGTGGAGAACTTACATATTTGCATTACATTATTATAGAGTTCATGTTAATACAGATTTTTTGTGTAAGGGATTCAAAGCATGTGTCCCAAGGTCAGAGGGGGGAATGCCCGCAGGTCTGTGTGAGTGACGAGGCCTGAGTACACATGCACACCTCGGAAGTGTCCTGGTCAGGTTCCAGGCCATGCCAACAAAACGAGCATTGCAGTACAGTGAGTTGTAATCTTTTCCTTTGGTGAAAGGTCTTGCTTTCAGTTGTATAAAAAAAAGTAACATCTGTGAAGTGTAATAAAACAAAATGCAGTAAAATGAGGTATGCCTGTACATAGGCAGATCAAAACTGCCCTGGAGCTGGGTTATACCCTATAGCCCAGTAGAGAATCTGCAGCCTTTTAGATTTTTTTATAACCTACAAAACCATGAAAGTGTGTGTTTGTCAAAGATGAGTTACAGTTGGTCAAAATAGATACAGCCATCCTGTGAGCTCCAGAGATGCTGTGAAATGCCTTTCCTGTACATAAGTAGACAAAAATGATGAAGGAAAAACCAGTGTTTGATAGTTTAAGGACAAAGTCCTCTCTTTGGGGAAAATTGAGTCTTGACTTCTCCCTCAGTGTTCTTAGCCTAGTGCCTTGTTTAGTGGTAAGTATGTAATTGAACTGTATCTAACCCCTTCCCCCTAACCCCTCAGTTCTAAATCTGTTTAAAGGTCCTTTACACAAACTCTACAAATTAATTTTTATTACTAACAATATGCCATAAAAATTGTAACCTTCTGGTTTTTAAAAGTAAACATATGCTCAGAGTCCTTAAGTATTGTATCTGGATGAGGACTTAGATATAGTTCAGTTTGTTCATTTTACCGTAGAGACCCCTGAGGCAGAAAACGTTCTGGAAATCACGTTGCCAGTTAGTAGTAGAACTGAACAGAGAATGGAAACCCCATCATTGGTGAGTGTTGCTCACTGTCCTATCATAGCTTACCTCCTAAATAAAGTGCCCAAAGAGTGTATAAATTGATTGTCCTTACTA